CCCCCTGCGAGCACCAGCCAGTTGACCATGCCGAGGGCAGTGGCCGCGGGCGCGGCGGGGGCCAGCAGGGGCGGCCGCCGCTGGCGCCGCGCGCCCAGCGCCTTCCACGCCGCGCGGCAGCGATGGCGAGGGTTGGCCATCGCGAAGGCCGCCAGCAGAGTAGAAGCCGACGCCGAGCCTCCCACGCCGCCCGTCTCTTCGAAGATCCACCACGCGCTCGGCGAGGGCCCGGTCGAGCTGCCCCTCGGAGAGCTGGCCCGGGCCGAGGCCGAGCGCCCCGAGGTCAGAGCTGAAGGCGCCGAGGGCGGCGGCGTACCTCAGCGTGGTCACTGGTTGCAGCGCGCTCATCAAAAAGGTAATGATGCGCCTGCGGCGCCTGCTGGGATCCTCGGCCATGGCGCGGCAACTCTCGCGCCCTCGCGCGAGCCTGCGCGAAAGAATGCGCCAGGGGGGCCAGGGCCAGGCACAGCTCCGAAGGATAGCGAGCAAGTTGCGAGGTGATGATGCCCCCGCCAGGCGCCAGACCGCGCAGGCCCCGGTGGCGACGGCGGTGATCGCAACGAAGTCGCAAGACGCCACTCAGCGCGGCATCGTTCGTGACGACCGACGTCGGCATCAGATAAATAGCTCCATAACAACACCGATCGAATCACACTATATGTAGCCCGATCTCTGTCATTCACTCCACCACCTCCTGGGGGCGCCAGAATAGAAGGAACGGCTCTTGCCCAGGATCCTGAGGGTGCTCTTGCCCTGCCCACCCCCCGCGAAGAATTTCGCGCGTGAGTAGCCCGAGGCAGAATAGGAAGAGATGCGTTCCCAGCGCACAAGCGCCCCGCTTCGTATTTGACTGTCCAGGTAATGGCAATAACGGCTGGGCCCTAGAGCGCAGTGGCCTCGGCCCTCGACGCCCGCCTCACGGGTGGTGTCTGGCTCGTCTGACCGTGGGGCAGAGCGGCCCTGCGAAGCAGCCCAGCGCGCCCCCGCTGCTGCGCGGCGCGCGCAGCTCGGCGGCCAGGCCGCCACGAGTCAGGCCATGGCCCTCGTCGACGGCCAGGTCGTATCCCAACGCCTTCACCACCGGCCCAGTGGCCTGCGCCTCCTGCTCCACGGCGTCGCTCATGTCCTCTTGACGCCTCGGACCAGAGCAGCTGCGCAAAAAGAGGACCTCACGGCTGCCCCAGCCCTAAGGATTTGGGCGCACAGCCTCCAGGCGCGGCAGCGGCTGCGGCGGCTTCCGCGGCTCTCGGCCTGCGCGGCCGCCACGCCAGCTGCTCGGCTCGTCCGCGGGGTTCTTCTCGGTGGGGATCCAGAAGTGGATGTGGGAGAAAACGCCCGCCAGCTCGGTGGCCGCCCCGCGGCGGCAGCGTCGGTTCAGCTTGCGGCTGGCGCTGCGGCGCCCTCGATGCAAGCGCCCTCGCACGGCACGTTGCCACCAGCATGGAGCACTCGGCAGCCCAGCTCTGGCGGCCTGTAGAGACGGGCCTCCATGCCCCAGCTTCGCGTGGGCCTCCTCCAGGGTGATGTGCTGCATGCCGCCAGGGCGCCCGACCTTGAACCAGTGGGGACCGGGTGGAAGCGTCGTCGTCCAGCCTCGCGTAGGGGGCCCTGTGATCGGCCGACTGCGCGATGCGCCGCACAGGCTCCACTGGGAGCGTCGTCCAGGCCCTGCCAGGGCCCCCTGGCGCCGCGTCGGTGCACTCCACGCGGGGGACCACTCAACGTCCAGGTCCCGCTCGGCGACGGGCAGCAGGATGGCGGTCGCGAGCAGCTCGTGCCAGGCCTGCGGGCACCAAGCAGACGGGCGGCGGCCCTTCTGCGGCAGCGTCATCATCCAGGCGTAGGCGCGCGAGAGCGTGGAGCGCAAGCAAGAGCGGTAGCTCTGGCAGTAGCCGCGCTTCCCGACCAGGCGTTCCACATCCTTGCGGTGCACCATCTGCTGCCCGAGCAAGGTGAGCACGGCCGCGAAAAGGTCGAGGCGGCGGCGACGAGCGGTGCCCACCCAGTGCTGAGTGGAGTGGATCTCCGTCCCCTGGAATTCGCCCTGGCCGCCGTCGACGGACTTCCCGTGGCGCACAGGGATGCCCATGCAGTCCCAAGCCTGCTCGGCCTTGGCCATCCAGAAAGTGGCCGAACTGCGCGCGCGATCCCCAGCCGAGCGCTTATCCAGCGCCCGCGGGTCGTCAACATGGTTCCCCGCAGCGGCAGCTCGGCGGGGCACGGCTTGTCGAACGTCACCCTGCGGCCCTGCGACGGGCCAGCCTTCGGGGGCGCCGCGTCTGAAGCCGCTTGCCGCTTGCGCCCGCCCCGCCGACGGCGCGAAACCCATCGGCGTGGCGCGGTGGAAAGGGTAGACGTCAGACCCCTCCCGCGCGGGTCAGACACGGACGGGCGCGCCGTGTACTTGTACCGGCGCTTGCCGATGGCCAGCTGGTGACAGTAGTGCAGCAGGCCCCGCCTCCAGAGTTTCGCACTGGTGCCCGGCAGCGTCTTCGCTGCGCGCAGCCTCGGCGGGCAGGCGAAGGTAGGCCGCGGCAGCGCGGCAGGGTGGAAGAGGGCCCCCCACTGGCATGAATGCAGGGAGACCAAGCAAGCCTGCTCCCGCGCCCATCGCTACGCCAGCGGGCACGGCCACGGTTCCGAGGGCAGCGTCCACCCCCTGGGCCTCCAGCCGCAGCGCGGCCAGCTCCACCGCCGAGGGGTCCCACTGCACCACTGCGTGCGGAGGCACGCACACCCAATTGACCGACTGCGGCGCAATGCCGAAAGGCAGCAAACGGACGAGCACCCAGTCGAAGCTCGAGCCCGCGTCGTCGGTGCTCAAAGCCAAGCTGTAGTCCCTCCCCTGCACCTGGCCGAACACGAACACTTCGTCCCACTCGCCACCGCGCGACACCAGCACCCAACATGGGGCTGCAGCGCCAACGACCACGCCAGCTGCCAGCGCCATCTCCACCAAGGCGTTCTCCAGGGCGGTTGACGCCGCTGCGAGCTCGCGATGGCGAACGCGCTCGGCCTGCCGGGCATTCCAGCACCAACGCAGGCGCCGCATCGCCGCGCAGCAGGCCCTCCAGGCGCCTCCTGCCAGCCCACAGCACGCCGACCAGCAGGCATTGGCGCCCCGTGCCGCCCGCCAGCGATGCTCCCAGGCGAGGGCCGCCAGGCAGCTGGCCAAGCTGGCCAAGGCGTGCAGCCCGCGCCACCCCCAGGCCCAGGCCGCCTCCGCGCCACTCGCGACCGCCGCGAGCCCGCGCGAGGCAGTGACCGCGACAGCGCAGGCCGCCTCGGGGGTGAGGTGGACTGCCCACCGCAGCGCCACCTGCCCCCAGAGCGCAGATGCGGCAGGCATAAGGAGGGCCGATCGCGCGCAGACTGCCAGCTCGGTGCCGCCCGTCGTGGTGCCGACACCGATCGCCGCCAGGCGATCTTGAGCCCAACTACATGTTGCTGAGAGTCGAAACGCGTGCCGATGCAAAAGACAGGATATTCCGAAAACCATCTAGTAAGCTCTTCCCATTCCCCCCTCAGATTGGTGGGTAACTGCTTCCTTGGCGCAGCAAGTGCCGACCATGCAGAACTGGGTGCGCACGCTTGCGCGCCACTCGTTGCAGCAATTTGAAACAACCTGCGCCACAGACAACGCAGCTTCGTATTGGAATTGCCATACGAATGTGCTGGACATTCGTCTCGGGTGTAGCATTCGCTGGGAGAAGTACCCATCCAAAAGATCTCGCCACCGAACACTAGTGGGAAATACTTCCCTCGGTTCACCAAGCGCTGGCCAGGCTCCAGCGGCAGATCTGCCATCATACATCATCGGGGCACCACTTTGAGAGAGCTCGCGATTCAAAACGATGTAGTACAGTCTGATTGCGATGTTCATGAGAAGATCCTTCCAAACCCACTCGCGTGTGGGGTGGACCACGGTGGATTATTCGCTGGGAGAAATAAGGACCCCCAAATATCCAGCCACCGAACACCAATGGGACAGTATTCCCCTGGATCACCAGGCGCCGGTCAGACGCCAGCAGCAGTTCTGCCGGCAGCAATAGAAGGAGCAGTTTGAGATACCTCGCGACTCAAAACCATGCGCATCCTGATGGCAATCCCCGTGGGACGATGCTCAAAACTCCTCTCGCGTGTGGGGTAGCCCGCACACAAAAAAACATCCATCATGGCATTACACTCTTGGAAGAGGACCCAAGTTTCGAGACGGATCGGCGGCCAGTCGCGCCCAACCCCCAAACGAGAAAGAATGCGTCAGGGTCTGGCCGTCACGAGGGCCTCCCCGTCCTGCCTCTCCTCTTGACTCTCGTCCTGCTCCTCCTCCTCCTCCTGCTCCTCCTCCTCCTTCCCTCCTTCCCCTCCTCCTCCACCTCCTCCTCCTCCTTAGGAATGACACGCGGAGGAGGAGGAGGAGAAGAACGAGGAGGAGGATGAGAAGGAGGATGAGGAGGAGGAGGAGGGGAGGAGCAGAAGGAGGAAGAGGAAGGACGAGTATATCACTCGTCGAGAGGAGCAGGGGGGGCAACAACGAAGGACCTCCTGAGATTAGTGGAAGTGGGTGTGTTTGGGTCTGTGTTTGTGACTCTGGGTATAAGTGAAGACTACTAGGGCGAAGGCTGCGTACGAGTGAGCCTGAGCACAGGTGAGTTTGCGTGTGCGTTGGTCTGGGACTGAGTGTGAGTGGTTTTGAGAGGATCTGGTTAATTATGAGTGGGTCTGAGAGCGGCTAAGCATGAGAATTCGTAGTCCTGATAATGGATGAGTCTGAGTGGGAGTGGGTCTGAGTGTGAGCGAGTGTGACTGTGGTAGTCTGTAGGGGGGGTACAGAGAAGATGAGCTGACGAGGCGGAGGCGGGACACCAGCCCTCTGGGCGGAGGCGGCCAAGAGCGCTTCCTCGTCCAACCCCCTCTCCCTCGCCAAAGGACGCCGGGAATGCAGGAGCCCACCGCTTGCGACCCACGCTGGCCAACATGCTTGCTTCGGCCCCGCGGGCCTCCGAGAACCTCTGGAGGCGCTGCGCTCGGGCGCGGCGCCCTTGGACTGATCCGCGTCGCCCAGGCCCAACAGCAAGGACGCGGGCTTGCTGGCCTTCTCTCAGCAAGCCGAGCTGAGCTAACGGCAAGTCGGAATCGGTCCCCAGAGCCCCCTCGGCTACACGCAGAGAGTGACCCTAGGCAAGGGTGACCCTCGGTGCGCGCTTTTCGGGGGGCGCGAGGGGGCCAAGCCAGAGCGCGCAAGCCGCTGCTATCGCATCTCTTTCGCCCATCTGGGGGCCTCAGTGCGCCCGCTCCGTACGTCACTACAGCGAAAAGATCACTCTTAGACTCTTAGGCATAGCCGGCCCCCATCGGGATCGGGGTCTAACCGCACCCCTTTTCCGAGCGGAGTCCAGCCGCGGCGACGAGGGCCCCCCTCGAAGGCCAACTGCCGTCTTCTTAACGCGCCCTCCTCTGGCCTTGCTCGCCGTGTCCCCGCCCGCGAGCTCGATGTCGACGTGGGCCTGGCTCGACGGCGTCTCCCCGGGGAGGCCCTCGCCAGGTGGCCGAAGCGACAGGCCTCCGCCCGCGTGTTCGCCGAGATCGCTCGCCCGGTGCGTTTGCGTCTCCAGTGGGAGCTCCGCCCGGCTCGACCGCGTCGCCGGTGGGAGGTCCCTCTCGGGCGCTCGAGACGTCTGGTGCCAGCCCGCGTCCTCGACGACGGCGCTCACCTGGTTCGGCTGAGGCTCCCAGTCCGCCCCGGGAGGTCCAGACGACAGGCGCCCGCCAGGAAGCTCGATGAGAGCGCTCGCCTGGCTGCTCCGCGTCGCCGGTGGGAGGTCCCTCTCGGGCGGTCGAGACGTATGTTGCCCGTCCGCGTCCTCGACGACGGTGCTTGCATGAATCGACTGAGCCTCCCAGTCTGGCTCGGGAGGTCTGGACGACAGGCGCCCGCCCGCGGGCTCGATGACGGTGCCCGCCTGGCTCGACGGAGCTTCCCAGCCCGCCTCGGGAGGTTCAGACGACAAGCCGTCGCCCGCGGGCTCGACGATGAGAGCGCCCGCCCGGTTCGACCGCGTCGCCGGTGAGAGGTCCTTCTCGGGCGCTCGAGACGTCTGGTGCCCACCCGCGTCCTCGACGACGGCGCTCACCAGGCTCGACTGAGCCTCCCAGTCCGCCTCGGGAGGTCCAGACGACAGGCGCCCGCCGGCAAGCTCGATGAGAGCGCTCGCCTGGCTGGTCCGCGTCGCCGGTGGGAGGTCCCTCTCGGGCGGTCGAGACGTATGTTGCCCGTCCGCGTTCTCGATGACGGCGCTCGCCTGGCGTGACCTAGTCTCTGGTGGGAGATCCTTCTCGAGAGGTCGAGACGTCTGGTGCCCGCCCGCATGCTCGACGACGACGCTCGCCTGGCTTGTCCGCGTCTCTGGTGGGGTGTCCTTCTCGGGCGGTCGAGCCGTCTGGTGCTCGCCCGCGTCCTCGGAGATGACGCTCGCCTGGCTTGACTGCGTCCCAGTTGAGGTGTCCGCCTCTAGAGGAAGCAAACACATCATAAACATAACCTTTCGGAGGTTCGCACATATTTCTGGGATCGGCGCTAGACCCCTCCCCTGGCGAGCGGAGCGCGCCAAGGGCGGCGCCAGAAGCGCCGCCAGGGGGCCCCCGCGCCGATCCGAGAAATCCGCGAGGCACTCTCCGAGAAATTACGTAGCACCCCGCAATTGCGGATAAGAGTGAGGGGGCGGGCGCGGGCGACGCGGGCGTCGTCAAGCCGGCGGACCTCGTGGCCCCCACCTTCCCTGTCGATGGCGCTGTCCTCCTCCTCCTCCTCCTCCTCCTCCTCCTCCTCCTCCTCCTCCTCTTCCTCGTCCTCGTCCTCATCGTCATCGTCATCCTCCTCCTCCACCTCGTCCTCCTCCTCCTCCTCTTCTCTCGTCCTCGTCCTCCCTCTCCCCCCTTCGTCCTTTCACCGTCCTCCCATTGTCGTCCTCCCCTTCATCGGCCTCCATCATCGTCCTCCCATTGACGTCCATCATCATCATCATCATCATCATCAGCATCACCATCATCATCATCATCATCATCATCATCGTCATCATCATCATCATCATCATCATCATCATCATCATCATCATCATCATCATCATCATCATCTTCCCCCTCCTCCCCCTCCTCGTTTTCCTCCTCCCCCTCCTCCCCCTCCTCGTCCTCCTGCTCCTCCTCCTTTTCTTTCTCCACCTTATCCTTACATCCTCTCTTCTTCCGCGTTCTCCGCGTCCCCTGTTTACTCCTCCTGCCTCCCCCTCCTTTCCCAAGATAACTGCAACGCAATCCTTTGTTTCCACTTTATGATCCCCGCCTTCTTTGATTAAGGCAACTCGCCAGGGCAGAGTTGCTGGACGGGCTGGTGTGGATGCGCGGGGCTTGAAGAGGTCCTTGCGGGCTCAGGCGGCATGCAAAAATCCGCCGCCGCGCTTGTGCGGCATTGGTTTGTTCAGTGAACGTGGTTTAGGTCGCGGGTGGGTCGCGGGCTCTCCACCTCCAACTGGAAGGAATGCAAAAGCAGCCCGCCGCAGGCGCCAAAACAAATGGTTTGTACACTGAACGTGGTTTGGGTCGCGGGTGGGCCGCGGGTTCTCCACCGGGAACGAATGCAAAAGATGCCCGCCGCACGGCGCCGAAAAATGTGGTTTGTACCCTGAACGTGGTCGCGGGTGGGCCGCGGGCTCTCCACCTGAAACGAATGCAAAAGATGCCCGCCGCAGGCGCCGAAAAATGTGGTTTGTACCCTGAACGTGGTTTGGGTCGCGGGGTGGTCCCGAGTTGGTTACGGGGTGGGTCGCGGGCTCTCAACCTGGAAGGAAGGCAAAAAAAGCCCGCCGCAGGAACCGAAAATTGTGGTTTGTACCTTGAACGTGGATTGGGTCGCGGGTGGGTCGCGGGTGGGTCGCGGGGTGGGTCGCGGGTCGCGGGTGGGTCGCGGGTGGGTCGCGGGTGGGTCGCGGGGTGGGTCGCGGGGTGGGTCGCGGGGTGGGTCGCGGGGTGGGTCGCGGGGTGGGTCGCGGGGTGGGTCGCGGGGTGGGTCGCGGGGTGGGTCGCGGGTGGGTCGCGGGGTGGGTCGCGGGTGGGTCGCGGGGTGGGTCGCGGGTGGGTCGCGGGGTGGGTCGCGGGTGGGTCGCGGAGTCGCTCTTGGATGGGACGACGACAACAACAACAAGACGAAGCAGAATCCGCGCCACGGATCCTCACTTCAGCCACGCACCCAGGGACAGTGAATGACCGTTCGGGCCCCTCTGATGTTGATGCCGTTGTGTGCGCTCCGATCCTCCAGGGGCCGGGTCGGCAGGCGCCCGCCCGCGTGCTCGACGGCGACGCTCGCCAGGCTTGACCGCGTCTGCTGGCTGGAGCGGCTCTGCTGGCTTAGCGTCGACGCCTTGGATGGCGGCCTCTCGGCGGCGGGCGGAGCGGGCTGGGAAGAGGGGGCGCGGCCTTCTGGCGAACACACGACAGGGGGCATCGCAGACAGGGCCTCGCCAGACCCCCTCGCGTCGTGAACAAAACATGACGGGCTGGGCCTGGGTCCTGTCTCGACTGCTGGGGGCCCTCGCCGGGCCCTGGGACCGTCAGAAAAACACTCAGGACGAGAATGCAGTCACGGGGAAGGGGTCCACAGACCTCTGGGGGTCCAGGACGTGAAGAAGCCATGACGTCGGGGGTCTGGGTCCCGAGAGGGCCCCCTGGAGGGCAGGGCTTCTGGGTGGCTGGGGTATCCTTCGGGTTGACAGCCCCAGGAAGGACATGCGCGTAAGACTTTCGGAGGTCCTTGCGGATCGGCGCTGCAGTCCCTTCCCTACACCCCTTCCCCGCGCGAGGGGCGCGCTGGGGTCCGGGCGGGATGTGGGGAAGGGAGCCCAGCGGCGACCCACGACACCCCCACGGGCAACCATATTCTACTTATGATCATGCTTATGCCCATGCTGTTTGCTCTGCCTCTTGCTGGAAGGCCGCCCTCCCCCTCGCTCTGCGCCCTTCCTCCTGAAATCTGAAAAATACAACTGCGTGACAGACATAACATAAACAACCATAACCATGGACCCAACCAGCCTGCTTAAGGTCCTCTTTATATTCAGATTATGGTAGGTTAACTTTGACTTTGACTTGCATGGAGGGGAGGGGCGATGCCTGAAAGGGAACATGGACTTCGCGCAAGTCGGAATTCGCTCTGACGCTGTTTCGGCCCAGCGTCGTTTCAGAAGCCAGCGGAGAGGGGGGTGGAAGGGAGGAAATGCCATACGAGCAAAACTTGCTTGGGCCTACAGAAACACAGCGTCATGCTTGGGACGGGCCAGACGTACCCCCCAGGAAGACGTGCCCCCAGTGAGGTGTCGCAGCGGGCACGATCCCAGCCACGGTGGGCGCCAAAACGCAGCCGATGGGCGCCCCGATGTGGGCCCTGTGAGGCCCCCTCCCTGGGCACGTCTGCTCTATGCTCTAGGGTACGCTTGGCCTTCCCTGACATACGTCTCGAGCCGCATCGCCCTGCGAGGGCTTGGGCCCTCGATGCGTACGGCAGGTTCGCGGCATACCGCCTTCGGCGCTGGCTTCTCACAACCCCCGACCTCCGAGAGAGGCCGTCGCTCGGGCTCTGTGGCGGTTGCCCCGTGGGCGCCCGCCGGCGCACCAGGGGACCCCAGGAACCCCCTCGTGACCGTGCCGATGCGTCTGATCGGCTACGGCAAATTCGTGTCGGGCCGGCTTCGGCGCTGGTGTCTCACAACGTGGGAAGCGCTCCACCTGAAACGATCGGCCGTCTCCGAAACGTCAGATCGTTCAACATCGACCGACTCAGACTCTGGGTCGCCAGCGGTGATTAAAATTGATCGCTGGCGGCGGGGTCGCATCCAGTCGACACGACGCGAACCTACCGTGCACCGAGGAGCCAAGGAGCTCGGCGGAGGGGATCGGTGCACAGGCGCCCCGGCAACCCACGGCTCGAGAAGCTGGAGCGTCTTTACGGTCGGGGACGTTTGACCAGCGTGTCGCGGCGGCGGCCCCGGCGACACGCTGTGCCCTGCGAGTGGATAGCGTGTCGCTCCGCTCCGCGCGGCGGGGTGCTTCGAATTCTCGAGATGTTGACGCTTGGAAGTGGGGAAGTGGTCAGCATGTCGCGCCGAAGCGTGGTGGGCCAGAACTGCCGAAGCGACACGCCAAGCACCAGTCCACGACTGTGTACGCCGAGCTCATCCGCCGAACTCCTTGGATCCTTGGCTGGCCAAGCAACATGGTGCATACATTCCAATATATCAGACGATGTAATAATCTGTTGTTGCATGCACGGCCCCAGAGGTCCCGACCCTTGGCCCAGGGGCGCGTTGTCCGCCCGGAGCATTTTGTTGATGGTCCCGGGCTCATAAACAGGTACCAAAAATCGAAATCGAGGAAATCTACCGGATTGAAGCGAGCACGGAAATCTGGGAAACGCCGCGGTGTACACATCGGAGAAGGCACCGAGCCCCTCCGACACAGAAAACACAACCCCAGGATCTCAGAGCTCGGCGTGCGCCCCTCCTGCGCGCACGGGAACACAAGGGGACACTTGTTCAGGGGGTGGGGGGGAAGTCGACCAGGAATCGCCGTTACATCGCCGATCGATGGGCGATAGGCCCCCGATCGCAAATCCGTGCGTTCCTGGACAGGCTGGGGCCATCGGGGCCCTATCGCTTATCGGCGATCCATGGGCGCTTGGCGGTCGATGCATCCCCCCCTGAGCTTTGGAGGCGGCCGCGGGGCCTGAACTGGATGGACCTCGAGAGAATCGACCAGGAAGGAAAGACATGGGCAACTCTGCTCCAATCGGTCCCCGGACCCCTCCCAGGCCCCACCTGGTGTAGTTTTTCACCTCTGGTCCGTTTTCGACGGCCTCAGGGCCTGAAAACGCCCTCTCGAGACCGCGCAATGCAAGAAACCTGCTCGAACCCAGAACCTCGAACCTCCTCCCCGCCTTCCTGCTCGCTGGAATCCGTGCTGGGCCACCTCAGACAGACAGGACAGATCTCAAGCCGGCTCCAATCGAAACCTATCACCAAATCGAAGAATCCCCAAACACCCCCCTGGACAACCCGGACAACCCATGCTGATTGATTACGGCAAGGCAACCTGCCCCTGAAGCACCCTTGGACAACCCAGCGGGGATCTGAGCAATCCCCTTAGACAAGCCTCCCAAAGTTTTTCCCATATATGTTACACGCCCAGACACGCGACGTCAAGCGACCTCCTGATTTGTTCAAAACGCAATCCCTGAAGGTCCCGACCCTTTCCCCGGGGCCGGTTTGTCATCCCGAGCCGCTTCTTTCAAGGTTCCGAGGCCTGGCGAGGGCCCTGGGAGCCCGAAAACGGCGGAAAACCTGTGACTTGTTCTTTTCGCGACAAGCGCACGTCTAGGTAGTAACGTTGCCACGCGCCCGCCCGCCCGCGAGCGCCTCGGCGAGGGCGCCCCAGCGAGCACCTCGGGCGCGGCGCTGAGCGAGCGCCCCGGGCTGCGGCTCGCCTTCGCCTCGGCGCCGTCGCCGCGCTGCTGCCCAGGCGGCCTGAGCGGCGCCGGTAGCGCGGGCGGGCCACAGGCAGTGCGCTCGGGCTCGTCGGTGTGCTCGGGCTTGTCGGCGGCGCCTGGCCGGCGAGGGCTCGAGCCTCTCTCCCCCCCTCCTCCTCAGCCGCATGCCTCCTCCTCCTCCTCCTCCTCCTTCGCCCTCCTCTGCGCTCTCCCTCCCTCCTCCCCGTCTCCTTCCCTCCTCTCATCCTCCTGCATCCTTGCCTCCTTGCTCCTCCTCCTTCTGCTCGTCCTCGTCCTCGTCCTCCTCCTTCTCCTCCTCCTCCTCCTTCTAGACCTCCTGCTCCTGTTGCTCCGCATTGCCCTCCTGATCCTCCTCCTCCTCCTCCTCCTCCTCCTCCTTACCTTCCTCGGACTCGTCTCTCGGTTTAACTGATTGGTCCCCCCTCCTCTTCCCCATCCCTCTTCACTCATCCAGGTCCTCCTTCACCCCCTCCTCTGAATGCGTAGCACCCCGCAGATGCGGATAAGAGTTGGGGGCAGTGGGGACGTCGGCAGTCTGCGAGACCCTGGAGAAGCCCGCCGCATGCGGCAAAGTTTCACGAATTATACAACGAGCCCGCCGCAGGCGCCGTTTTTTTCTTCAAACCAATGTGGATCGGTCGCGAGTGGGTCGCGGGTGGGTCGCTGGGTGGGTCGCAGAAGGGTCGCGGGTGGGTCGCGGATGGGTCGCGGATGGGTTGCGGGGTGGGTCGTGGGTGGGTCGCGGGGTGGGTCGCGGGTTGGGTCGCGGGTGGGTCGCGGGGTGGGTCGCGGGGTGGGTCGCGGGGGTGACGACGACGACAACAACAACAACAACAACAACAACAACAACCACAACAACAACAACAACAACAACAACAACAACAACAACACCAATCACAACACTAGCATAATCCTCACCACGGAGTCTCACTTCAGCCACGCACCCAGGGACAATGAATGACCGTTCGGCCCCCTCACTCTGATTACAACATCGATGCTCGCTCGGCGTTCCAGACAGCTATTGCCCCTGGTCGTCGCATCGTCTGTTCCCGCAAACGGATCCGCACGCTGCCTGGCGATAGTGCGCACATCGTGCACTCCTGCGCCCACCTACGTGTAACCCCGTGCGCATGGCATCCCAAAACGCCAGCCTACAGCCGTCGCCCTGCCATCAGGAGCGCGAACACAGGGAACGAAGGAGCTTCTCGGGCCACGGCGTGCCTCTGCCACGAAAAGGTTCCCCGACCTAGACCTGCGAAGCAACCCGAAGACCGGGTCCCCTCCGGAACCCAAACGGGTCCTTCTGCCAGGCTCTTAACTCGCCTGGTTTCGCTGTGGGCTTGCTACATGGCAATCACTGGCGCGAAGCGGGGAGTGAAACTGGATGGAAGCCCGAAGCAACGGGATGCCTGGAGCACGCGAGCAGATCGGCGGCGCCGAGATGTTGCTCTGCGAGCATTCTGGGCCCGGAGCCATCTCAATCGCAGGCGGACCTTGCAAGCGGGGCAGGGATTATGGTCTGGGGCGTTTTTTCGGCTGGGCAGTGAGGGAGGGAAGCCGAGGGGACGAAGCCAGCACCCGATGATCGTCCCACATGTGCGGATGATGACCAGAAATCGCATCGGCGCAGCGGGTGAGGCAGCCGAGGTGATGAGAAGGAGGAAGAAGGACGAAGAGAAGCTCAAGCAATCGAACTCTTGACATGCACATTCGTTTCCTCTCGTACTTCTTCTCCCGACTCCCCCTTCCGCTGCCTCCGCGGCCAAGCGTGGAGGAGTCGCCCAGCCCAACCCATAGCTGGAACGGCGAAGACGACATGCCCTTAGCCGAGCCCGAGTGGGACTGATGCCAAGAGAACTCGAAGATGACATAAAAGAGCCCCAAGACGGACGCAGAGACCCGCCAGACAGTCCCACGCGGCCACAAAGATCCTAAAAGAGAGGCCATCAGGCGGCCCCTTCGGAGCCAAGAACTCATCTCGAAAATCAGCATTACTTTCACCGACTTGTGCGCGTCCACGTCGTGCTCGAATCTTCGAGGGGACCAGGCGTCATGCCCGCTGCCATTGACCAAGTCGCTGCTCGATGACGCGCCCCAATCGCTCGCTCTCCCGTGCGGCGCGGCCGCACACAAGGCAACATGTGCGAGCCGCCGCTGCGTAAACCGGCCCTCGGGCCAACCAAGCCTCCAGGAGGTAGGAGGTCTGAGGGGCGCATCGTGCAGGCGTCTTACGGAGTGGAGGGCTCACGCTCGTCTTTTCTCCGCCACGCAACCTGCAGCGGACACCCCTACCTCCACCAGCCCCCTTTTGTCCCTCTGTTCCTGGTCCAACCCTCCTTTCATGCCGAAGAGAAGCCGCATGAGCATAAACTTCCAGACCTCGGCACGGATTTCTTGGGTCGGCGCTGGACCACCCTTGGCGGAGACTCGGGCGCCACACCTGGCGCGCTCCGCGCGCCGGAGCCCTGGGGCACCGCGCAATGACGCTCAGGTCAATTCTCCCTGGCAGGATCGAAACTCAGCCTCTTCGGGGGTCTGCTTATGCGTGACTGCGCCGCCTGATTGGGCGATCTCTCACATTCTTTGAAAGTGGCCTCAAACACCACGAAGCCGCAGTTCAACCAACCTCCTTCCTTCCTCTCTCTACTCTCTTGTCCCTATCCGTATCCGCCTCTTTGCTCACCCATCTCCCACCCTCTCCCTTTTCATCCTTCTCATGCCTCCTCCGTACTCGCCACATCCTCCCTCCCGAACCCTGCTCCCTGCTCCTCTCTCCCACATCCCTCGGAAGCCCCTTCCACGCCTCCCTCTCCCTCCCGTTAGATGCCCTGTAGCCGCATTTGTTCCCACATTTGGCGGCGCGCACAAAGGGTGGAAGGGGAGGGGGGGCAGCTTCTTAGAAGGAAACTGTTTTTTAGAATGCGCGGGCCTCACATCTACAAGACAGGCCCAAGCCTTCTAAGAAGCAGCCTCCTTCTAAGAAGCCTACCCCCCTCCCCCTCTCCCCCCCCTGCTGCGCGTCCGCCACTTGCTCCTCCTCCTCCTTCAGCTCCCCTTCCGCCTCTCCTCTCCCCCACCCCGCACCCAAGACGCCATGACTTGTTCGCAGCGTCGGTCCCCAGAAATCGATCCACTCCCCAGGGCCGGCGTTTCATCCCGAGTCGCTTTTCGACGGTCCCGGGGGCCTGGCGAAGGGCCCCAGAGACCGAAGAAGACGAGACAAAACACAAACATGCGTAGCTGTTTGCGTCGTCGTCGTCCTCTCTTCCTCGTCGTCCTCGTCGTCCGCGTCGTCGTCGGCGGCGTCGTCGTCGCCACCATTCTCGAGTGCGGCGCCTGCCGGCGGTGCGACGCTGGGCAGCTTCTGGGCGGGGACCGCCGGGCTGTCAGCAGACGACGAGGCCTTCGCGCGGGGCCCGGCCGCGGCTCCACCAGGCGACGTCCCAGACCTCCTATACGACAATATTCGTCCAATCTCGGCGTTCGTCTTCAATGTTGGCCCTTGGGGCCCCTTGCAGGGCCCAGAGGCCACCAGACATGGATCCGGGATGACAAAACTGCCCCTGCAGAGAAAGGGTCCAGGATTCTGGAGCCGCGGACTGAACAGTTCGCATCGTCGTCTGCCAGGGGACACGAGGACAACGACGATGACTTTATACGGCAGTGGGCAGTGCCACGGCGAGTAGCATCGAGGTGTTGCCCGTTTCAGGCCGTTTCTGTGCCTCTGGGGGCCTCAGGAAGCCGAGGCGGAGCCCCCGAGGGGACGCTGCGAGACTCGAAACTCGCGGAGGCCTCCAGGGACCTCTAGCCGGCGACGACGACGACTGTCTTTGCGAAAGATCGTGGCGCCTGACTTGTCTTGGGACCTGGGCGTCGCAACCTATTCACATCCCGGCGACTTCGCCCTATTTCGGGCCCCAGGTTCCTCGCGGATCGATGAAGCTCGAAAAAAGCAGGGTATCCAGCTGACATTTGGTCTACGATGTTGCATCTTCTTCATGACGTCGGATCTGAGGTTCTTATCGTTAGAACGTTTCGGCCTCCCGATGCAAGTTTGGGGCCAGGGGATATTATAATGCAAAACAAATCCCCAGGGAAGAGGTCCAGAAATCTGGGGGAGAATCACGAACTTAAACACCAATCCGTGGGAGAGGACGTCGTCGTCTTCGTCCATCCTCCTTCTCGTCCTCCTCCTCCGCCTCTCAAGACCCTCTCTTCCTCGTCCTTTTCTAGAAGACCCACGACGTAATCCATAAATCCCCTTCTCCTCCTCAAAATATGTCCCGTCTCTTGCGGTTCTCCTCCTCGTCCTCATCGCCGACTCCCCGAAATCTCCTGAGCTCGTCCTCGGAGATCTCTCGAGGTCCAAGTAGACCAACCGCTTCCAATAAAACCATCCTGGCGAAGGACCCAACATTGTGCAGTTGTCAGTAACGCAATTGTGAATATCGTCCTCGGTGGAGCTGCCTAACGAAGCGTGTGAGCGGCGTGCCAACATGGACATACGGTGGGCGGGGAGCCGCATGTGAGCCCTGCCACTGGGGCCATCGGTTAAGCTCCGCATGTGGACACGAAAAGTGTGATGGCTATGCCGAAAAGGGGATGCAGTGGTCGGTGAGTTGCATGCGAACCCGTCCTCTTCGGTTTTCGGTGGAGCCCCCTATGGGGCCACGAAGCGTGTCATGGGTGTGCCGAAATGGGCATGCGGTGGGCAGGGAGCTGAACGCAAACCCCCTCACTGGGGCTTACGGTGAAGCTCCCTATATGGCCACGAAGCGCTTGAGGTGTGCCTAAAAGTGCACGCGGTGGGCGGGAAGCCGAATGTGAACCCTGCCGCTGGGGCATTCGGTGGAGCTCCCTGTGGGGCCACGAAGCGTGTCATGGGTGTGCCGACATGGACATGCGGTTGGCGGGGAGCCGCATGTGAACACTGCCACTGGGGCCTTCGGTGGATCTCCCTATGGGGCCACGAAGCGTGTGAGGGGTGTGCCGAAATGGGCATGCGGTGGGCGGGGAGCCTAGCGCGAACCCTTCCTCTTCGACCTTCGGTGGAGCTTCCCCATGGGGCCACGAAACGTGTGAAGAGTTTGCCGACATGGACATTGAGCGCGGAGCCGCATGCGAACCCTGCCACTGGGGCCTTCGGTAAAGCTCCTTATGTGGCTACGAAGCGTGCGTTGTCTGCGCCGAAGTGGACATGGCGTGGGCGGGGAGCCGCATGCGAACCCTGCTGCTGGAGCCTTCGGTGGAGCTCTGTGTGGGGCCACGAAACGTGTGAGGGGCGTGCCGACATGGACATGCGGTTCGCGGGGCGCCGCATGTGAACCCAGCCACTGGGGCCTGCGGTGGATCTCCTTATTGGGCCACGAAACATGATGGATGTGCCGAAACTGTTGGCGGAGGGCAGATGCAGGGGTGGGAGGAGAGAGGAGCGGGATGAGGAAAGAGGAGTGAGTGAGGATCGTGGGTCGCTGTCTCTTTGAAAACAAGAAATACCAACATAACAGGACGGTTCAGAACAAAACGCGCCTGCCCTACAACTACCGCCTCTGTCCGGGAGGCCAATTGTCGATCCTATCAGTCAGAGTCGGCCCGGAGTCCTGAAGGGCCAGGAATTAATTGAAAAAGGCATCCCTGATTTTCCGTGCATTGGAAGAATGAGATGCAACCTCAGACATCCTCCGCGATCCTCCCTCCTCCCTGCGCCTCTCCCCCTCCTTCAGACCAGGGTCGCTGCCTCGAAGACGACGACGACGGCGGCGGCGGTGGCGACGACGACGGCGACAACGACGACGAGGAACTCCCCTGCGACGTCGCTTTTTTCCGCGACGTGGGCACACAGGGATCTCGATCCCTTCCCCCCTGGGGCTGGTTTGTCATCCAGAGCTGTCCTGACGACCTCGATGCTGGGCGGGACGCAGCGCCCAGAGGCCAGAAACAACCAGCCTCGAGTTGACCTCGCGATCCTTCAAGCCCAAAGGCGATGGCAATCTTAGAGGTGCGCCTTCAGAAACAATGCGAATCGCTAAGGTCGGCAACGAGATAAGGTGGTCAGGCTGGTGAAGAAACCCTCGCGCCAGCCGATGTATGTTTTCAATCCGCGGCGCCAGAAAACTGGACCCCTTCCCCAGGGGTAGGCCTGCATCCCAGACTCAAGTTTGACGGTCCTGGGGCCCAATAGGCAGCCCCAGGGGCCGAAATCTAAGAGAAGCACCCGCCTTGAAAAGATCACACTGTCGGATATCTGCGGACGTTGCAAGCCCGGCCGCCACGACACGCACGTTACGGGGGAAGGGGGGGAGGGCCTGCAAGCGCCACATCATGCTTGCGAGGACCAAAACATGCGCGTCAGCGCCACAGCATGCCTGTCAGCACCGCGCCATATATGTGGTGGATCTGGCCCCCTCGCTGCGTTCGGCCCCATTAGCAGGAGGGCGGGGAGGGGGTGGGGGCGACCCCCGGTCACGAAGTTTACGGTTCACCAGCAAAACAAAAAGAACCCACAACAACGACGGCGGTGCTTGGCGGGTCGCCGCGCTTCAGGGCGGGTCCAGTGCCCCGCCTGCGCGGGGACCCCTGCCCGCCGGGCTGCGGAGGGCCCGGAGGCCCTCGGCTTGCTGCTGGCGCAGCCCATCGCCGAGCGCGGAAAGTGCCTATCGCGCCCCCCTCGCGGACCTCCCACGCCTTGGCCCAAAGGTGTCCCCAACTTCGCATTGGATGTTGCGGCCCCTGGGGCCCTCTGGGTCTCGCGAGGGGTGCTCCGGACGCCATGTGGGCCTCCTTGGAAATCCCGGGGACACCTCTGGGCCAGAGACATCTGTGACAATAACAGACTTGGAGCAGCTCGGGGAGCTGAGCGCCCCGTACAGCGGGTGCCGCGGCGACGCGGACTCGTCACCTGCTACGCAGAAGATGGAACTCGTCGACGGCCTGATCCGGGGCGGGCAACCCATGGGGTGGGGTGGGGAGCATTAACAGAGGAGCTCTGGTCGCCCACGTATTCGACGAGGCTTCCTGACAAACGCGTGTATTGCACAATCCCTGTGTCGTCCACCTTGTTTCCCCAAAGCTCAGGGGTGGCGCCGCTGACTAATAAGAGCCACAGACCTCCCAGCGTACTGAGATCCCCGATTTCGGCGATCGGACCAATAGACGTCAACTGGCCACCTCACCGACCCAGGCAGGGCCGGGACTGGGCTGGGGATCGGTCTCTACGCTGCCCTGATCAAGCCAGGGGGCTACTCCTCGGGCTTCGCCAGAAACCCGAGGAGTGCCGGATATGGATAAAAATCTGGCCCCTAGAGGCTCGAGTTTTATCCCCATCCAGTGCGCCTCGCCTTGTGGCGCCCCTTCCAAGAAAGTCCAAGACGCTCTGGATACGAGTCTAAATATTGCCCGCACCTGGGCCCATGATGGGCCCTGCGAGGTGGTCAGTTGACGTCGCCCGATTCGGAGGGGCCATATTCGGGCCCCAAGGGGCCGTAAACATGCCCCTGGGCGAAAAACTATCCCCGTGGAGGGGCGGCGGCTACCCAACAAACACCCACGACACGAGCAATAAAAATGAGACGTGAACAAAACGTGGCGTTGGAGGTCCGAATGGGCGGCGACGCCGGCGGAGGGGAGGGGTGTCCGAAGTGGCTCGTCACGAGCCGAGGCGGCTGAGGGCGTGGGGCCGGGCCTGGCTTCTCCACCTCGTCGTCGTCCGTCGGTCGTCTTTCGTCGTCCATGGAGTCCATCGGTCGACGGTCAATCGGTCGGTCGGTCGGTCGTCGGTCGACAGTCGTCGTGGTCGTCCACCCTGCCCCATCCGCCTTTGCACGATGAGAGTACTACTTGTCTCTCTCTCTCTCTCTCTCTCTCTCTCTATCTCTCCTGATAATGCCGATGATCCTCAGGATGTATGCTAGCGCAGACGTGTACTTTTCCACTGAAGCCGTTCCGAACGACGCAGGCGATGTGAATAAGTACTTGCAAAGGCTGCGTGCGATCGGTGGAGCTGAACGGCGACAGCAAACATTGTGCAAACACAAGCCCTGAGAAACATCGTCGACAATGAGCGTGTGTACTCCGGCCACTTTCGCAAGCTGATTTGTGAGACTTCAGCGTTTAGTATGTCCCGCATGTTTGTGTTCACTGAATCGGAATGCACTCGGCCGATCGGAACGCCCGATGCAGCCTTGACCTCCGTTTCGTCCTTCTTCCCGTCTCCGAGTTTACAAGTCACTGGCTACCCCCCTTCAGTTTCACCGTATGCTGCTACGCTTCTCTCTTCAGGGGAACTCGTCTAGTGGTTGTCTTGGGATGCACTGGTGGGGGCACGCGAATCGCCAAGAATTGGGTTTCCCGCTCCAGCGTTGCGCACATGTCCGGACCCGTGCTATAATTCCATTGTTCGGAATGGCGTTCTTGCCCCAGCGCGGGACACACAAGTGCGAAGACTCGGCCCAATTCTCCCCCCACTTTATGGCACCCCAACACCCAGACGAATTCACTCCGTCTTTCTCACGGCCCAGCTTGATCCTACGGTCAGGAACTTTGCTTAGCGCGTCTCGGCGGCGGCCCCAGCGACACGCTATACCTTGCTAGCGGGAAGCGTGTCGATCCGCTTCTCGGGGCGGGAGGCTGGGGAAGGCTCCAGACAATGACGCTTGGGGGCTGGAACGTGGTGAGCGTGTCGCGCCGAAACGTGGTGGGCCAGAACTGGCGGCGTGACGCGCTAAGCAAAATTCCCCGACCGTAGCAGAGGGCTTCAAAAGCAATCCTATGTTGCCACGCTTCTCCGGTGGTCAATAGGTCCACGGTCCACGCCGTGCTGTCACGGCATAGGCAGGGCATGGTAAGTAGACGAGGCCAGCGGCTTTACTGGGAAGCCGCCAGTTCACGCCCGATTGTTGCCCAATCATTGCCTTGACCTCGAGTGTCAACCTCGATTGAAGCTGGCGTCCACAATTCTCTCAAAGGCGGTAATGCCACGAAACTGGGCCGCCTCACGGGGTTAAGGCACCCAACATCCATATGACTTCAAGTCCTCCTCCTCCTCCACCTCCTCCACCTCGTCCTCCTCCTCCTCATACTCATACTACTACTACTACTACTACTACTACTACTACTGCTACTACTACTACTACTACTACTACTACTACTACTACTACTATTACTACTACTATTACTACTACGACTACGACTACTACTACTACGACTACTACTACTACTACTACTACTACTACTACTACTAGGTCAGAGGCTGTTCGGTAGCCTGTGTGTTTTCGCATATGCAGTAAGCGAATGCCCGCGCAGCGACGACGACGACGATGACGGTGGCAGCGGTGATGATAGAGCGTGTTTTGAGGCAGTCATGTCCCCATCGCGTCTCGCAGTGCTAACTACCGAACATGCGGTGACTGCGCTCATCTCTTATGCGCTCCACACTGGTCAGCGTGAGTACCCACGCTGCACCCTTACACTGAAAAAAGCGACAGCCCCAAACTTTGCGTTTGAAGCAGCTTCGCCAGCGCCTGAACTCAGCGGCCCAGCAGCTTGGCCAATGACTTGAGCGCGCCCTCAGACGTCGTCTCCGAGTGGCGCTTGTTGTACCGATACAGCCACGACCAAACGCGGTCGCGAATGTCCTCGTCAAGCACGCGGTGCACCGAGCCCTTGACCGAGCGCTTCTTCGCGTGCGTGATGGGGATCGCCTTGTCGAGCTCACGCCAGGCCCTGTCGATGCACTGCGTGCCCGCCAGCGTGGCCAATTTCTTAGCATTGCGGCTCCCCCCGCGCACGGCCTTGGTGAACTGGTTGTTCTTGTGCGACACCTGGTGCACCCTGAACTTCTTCTCCCTGTACTTGGTGGACGCGAGTTTGGGCCACGCCTTGTTGCCGTCGGCGTGGACGTTGGACTTCGGGGCGATTCTGTCGAGCAGGGAAGTCGCCAAGACGCCCTGGTACGACTCGGGAGGCGGGCGCGCCCTCGGCGGGACAAGCTTGTGGAACGGCAGGAAAGACAGGTATAGCTTGCCCATGCCCCGCTGGATCGCGCCAGCGACTTGCACGTACAGCTGGAAGTAGCTCGGGGGCTTCCTGACGTATTTGTCCTGAATCAGGTGCTGGTAAGACTCGTTCTTCGGCGACACGTGGATCTTCGCGACCTGGTGGGCGTCCAACTCCACGTCGCCCCCGATCGTGCCTCTCCGATTCAGCAGCTGGCCCTGCCCCGCCTCTGCGTCGCGACACATCTTCGCGAACCGCCGGGCAATGAACTTGCCGCACCCCGCGTGGGCCGCGAGGGCGCTGGGGCCAGGCGGGGCGATGCGGTCATGGCGGGAGTACTCCTTCAGCAGCGCCAGCGCCTGCTGCGGCAGCAGCCGCATCTGCTTGAAAGGCGTCAGCTGCATGACGTAGAAGCGCCTGTTGCAGCTCCACGCGTTGCACCGGTAGAACGCGCGCCCCGAGCCCCCGATGCGCTGCTGGTGCAGGTGCGCTGACAATGCCACCCCACAGCACGGGCACTTCTTCGGAATCTTGAAGATGCCACAGTCCTTCAGCTGGCGTACGGCGCTGTCCAGCGCGACGGCGTCGTTCTTGATGAAGAGCTCCTTGCGCCCGCTCGCCCCGCGAACCAGCTGGTTGGTCACCTTCCTCTTCGCAGCCTGCTTGGTGCTCGCTGCAGGGTTCGGGGTGTGCGCCTTGCGCCGCTTCTTCACAGCTGCGGCGCCCGTCGTCCGAACGCCCATGCGCGGCTTGGTCCTCCTCTGTCCTGCCCGCAGCTTCAAGACAGCAAGTAACTCTCGAATCTTCTTCGCGCCCGTCGCCTTGCACGTGGCCACGGTGTGCCCCGTCTTGCCGCAGCAAGCGCAGCGCCTGCGCGCGCGCGCCGCGGGCGCTGGCGACCCGCGCCGCAGGCCCATCGGGGCGCCAGGTGAGCGGGCACAGCCCACGAGCGCTGTCTTCGAACGAGCTCGAGCCAAAACGGCCGCGGGAAGCAACAGGGGTGCCGAGGCAATGGCATGGCTTAGCAGCAGCGGCAAAACATCCCAAGCTTTTCAACCTCGGAGGCCCCGCCCCCGCAGACATCACAGACGTCCGAGCACGCGTTCGGGTGCCTATACATCTCTTATGCAAGCAGCTCTGGCAAGCATGGATACCCACGCCGCAGCGCCCAGACCGCCCCACCTGGCGAGACGCCCCATCGGGCCCAGGACGCGTGGCCCAGCGGACCTCAGCCCGCCGCGCCACCCTGAACAGGGCGCCCCGCCCGCTGTCACGGCCTCACTTCTCACTTCGCCGAGTCCATGCTGCCGCCGAACCCGAACGCGTCCTCCTCCTCCTCGCCTGCGAACGCTTGCTCGTCTTCGTCGGCGTCCGCCCTCGCGGCGTTCGCGTCCCTCATGAATGCCTCGTGCAGGTCATCCATGGAAATCGGGGCCTCCTCGCAATCGTCGACAGAAATCGCATGCTCCTCGCTGTCCACGTCGGGCACCTCGATGCACTCCTTGCTCGCGGCGAGGGCCGCCGACCGCTCCAGGAAGACGTCGTTCTCGATGAGGATGGCCGCGCACGAGGAAGCGCCGTCGCCCACCCTGGACCTCTTGGAAGGAGGCTCGTCCGTCGCGTCCACGCCAATGGGGTTCCTTTTCGTCTGGTCGGCGAGTTCGGAGTTCATCGTGAAGAAATCCTCGTCCTGCTCGCGCTTCACCTGCACGCGGTGGACCTCTGGGTCGGTGAAGATACTGCTGAAGAGATGCTGCTCCTCGCTCACCAGCGCGTCCAGCTCGGCAGAGTCGCGAAGTATACCGCGTTCGGTGTAGGCCTCAAGGACGTCCTTCGCTTTCTGGGTGATGCAGGAGCCCTCGTTCTTGTGCGTGACGATCGTGGAGGACGCGTGCAAGCCCCGAGGCGGGACGTGGACGTAGTGCTCGGTGTTCACGATCACATTGGCACGCTTGAAGATGGCCCCCAGGTCCGCCTCAGAACACGGGGGGAAAGCGGGCCTCACCATTTTGATGAAGGCCTCGTTCGTGATGCGGTCCGCTGCGCCCCCTAGGACAGCCCCTGCCCTGACCTGCCTGCCGTCGAGCGTGACCGTTGGGTCGAGGCTGGCGTCGAACTTGTTATCGACCATCATCCTGGGTTGGCACTGCACGAACTTACTGGCGCCCCACCTCTCACGGGTGAGGGGCTCCCTGCAGCTGACGTCCAAGAAGCTTTTGAACACCTTCACGGACAGGTCCGACATGTCGCCGTCGTCGAGGCAGCAGCCGCACCAGCGCTCGCCTGGCTCGTCGCGGTAAAAGTCGAGGTCCGTCGCCGTCTTGAACATGGGAACAACGTCGGTGTCGCGGGCACCCTGGTCCTTAATGTGGAACCTCGAGAGGGCCATCATCAGCACGTGCATCAGAGGTGTCTTGCCCATGCCGCCGAGGCCAAGGAATATGATCGACTTGCGCTTCAGCGACGGATCAGCGGCTCTATGATCGTCTGCGCCCATGGCTCCACGTCGCCTTACGCGATCGGCAGGTACGTGTACTTGCTCGCCGTCACCGACTTGCTCCGCAACTGCGCGAGACACTCTCGGATGTCTTTCTTGTCCAAGCACTTGATCTTGCTGTCTGGGTCCGCGAGCTCCTGCAGCATCCACTTCGTCTGTTTCAGGTCGGCGTTGTTGTACGGCGCGTGCGCGCGGATGTAATGGATCGCCACTCCTATTTCGGATTGGCTGACCACCCTGTCGGCCAAGTTTTGGTCGAACGACCACCGGCGATACTGCAGGCCACCGAGCTTGTCCAACATGAAGTTGAAAGTGAGTGCGCCGACTCTCACCTGATTGCCCCAGTTAATCTTCATCAATGCGCCCTGGCACACCGCGCCGTACACATCGTACTCCTGCCGATCGTCGAACGCATAGTGCTCGATGATGGTGTGCGCGTTCTCGGCGGCGGCCTCTTTGAGCATGACGATCTGCAACTTGAACGGACACACGACGACGGCCGCCGGCTTCATCTTACCAGGCAGGTTCATGTACATCTGCTGCGCCATGAAGCCTGCGACCTCGTTTGGGTCGAAGGCGTCGGTGTAGCTTTGGACAACATCAACGACGTGCGTCATTTTTCCTGAAGATTGGTCCAGAGATGTGAGCGGCAAGTCCATCATGCCTGTGACGCCGTTCTCCTGCTTTCCAGAGAAAGCGCACTTCGGCAGCTGCTTAATCTTCAGCCCCTTCACGATGCTGCACGCCATGGCGAACGTGTAACGCGGCTCGCCCATCTCCGCCTGCACCTCGAGTTCCTCAACCAAAGAATTGGGAGCACCCACGACGGCGGCCATGGGGGGCGAAAGCTGCAGCGTCAACCCTCGGCGGTGGCGACGCGTGCGTGATCACTACGATACTTGAGCCATAACACCGGCGACGGTATGATGAAGTGATGTGATGAATGATGATCGGGGCGGGTTGGCCCACCGAAGGCTCTGCCGGGCCCCGGGGGGGGCCCTTCTTGAGTGTTTCGGGGGGGCCGTTTCGGCGACTTTCTCGCGCAAAAAAAAAGAGGGAAAACTGAGCCGAGTTAAGAAAAACTCGGCTGAGTTATGAATTGCAAAAACTGCAACCGAAGAAAACAAACAAATGACATCTAAGGGGCCCAAAGGGGCCCCCATACTGCCCAAGAGTCCTCCAGGACGGCCCCAAGAAGGCCCGAAAACCAAAGAAATGAATCTCAAGAGCCCAAAAGCGCCCCAAGATCGCCCAAGCATCCTCCAGGACGGCCCCACGTCGGCCCGAAAGCCCAAAAATTGTATCTAAAGGGCCAGAGAGGGGCCCAATATTGCCAAAGAGTCCTCCAAGACAGCCCCAAGACGGCCCGAAACGCCTCCACGACGGCTCCAACGCAGCCTGAGAGACCCCTAGGAGACTCAGTAATGCCCCAAGACGGCCCGAAGAGCCCCCGAGAGGTCCCGATGCACCCCACATCGCGCACCCCAAGGACCCAGCGAAGCCTCTGAGAGACCCCCCACCGCGCGCCTTGAATAGCCCACCGAGTGGTTTCCACGAGCCCAGGAGAGGCGTTCACGAGGCCTTCCGCGTTGCATCTTTGGGAGGGAGGAGGAGGGAGGAAGGAAGGAAGGAAGGAGAGGGAGGAGGTTGACGAAGGAGGAAGAAGGGAGAGGCAGGAGGAGAAGAGAGGGAGGAGGTTGACGAGCGCAGGACGAGCGGGGGGGCGAGGGAGGAAGAGAGAGGGGGGAGGTTGACGAAGACGACGACGACGACGACGACGACGACAGGGGGCACACGTCACGGCCCCCTGCGCGCTCCCCGACGCATAACTGCCACGGGTGCTGGGCTGGCGCGACGGCGGGATTTGCCGCAGGATGCTGCGTATCTGCGTGCGAGCAGGAAGACTGTTCTCGCCAGAGGAAGCGCGAACAGCGGCAGGACGAGGATGTTGGGAATGGGGGATGAAGCAAGTGCGGTTGCCACGCTATATCGAAGCATGCCCAGGAGGGAGGGGGGCGGCGGGGAGAGTTAGGGAGACGGGGGAGGGGGCGCGAGAACTGGGGAGGGCGAGAGGGGGGAGAAGCGTCAACAAAAAGAAAAAGAGGGGAAGTGGCGGGGCCTGCAGGGAGGGGAAGGGGGCGCGCTCGCGGAGCAAAAGGAAAGTGGATTTTTTGGGGCTGCGCAGCAGCTGCGTGGATCACCTGCGGGCGGGCTTCTTCTTGAGCGCGTGTTTCTTCACCTTGCCCTGCGGCGAGGGCGCCTCGTCCCGATCTTTGCCGCCCCACGAGCCGGTCAAGTATGTCTGATAAATCTCCATCCCCTTACAAGCATTCTGCGATCCATCCGCAACGAAGAAGTGTGGAAACATTTTCTTGGCGTCGTCTTCGAAAGTGCTGGTCTTCGGCACCTGCTTGTACACGCGGTCGCGCAACTGCTTCATGGTGTTCGTGCCGCGCGGCCCGCGCTGGCCGACGGCGTTCGCGATGCGCAGGAAGGCCGCCGAATTCTTCCCGCCCTTGATGTACCCTGCCAGGGTCTCCTTGTCCATCCTGCAGGTGAACACTGGGAAGGCGCATCCGGCGCCCCGCAGTTGCAGGAACTCCATCGCATGGCTGAAGATCAGCGCGCCGCCGAACAACTTCATGTTCTCCAATGCAGAAGCGAATTTGGCAGGCGTGTCCGCGAGGGCGAGATCGCACGGCGTCTGCAGACTTTTCCATAAGGGCTGGAGCAGCGCGTCCAATGTATAGCCAGCGCCCCGCGTCTTCTGTTCAGTGGTATGCTGGTTTCTCTTCCGCTTGGGGTTGGCCCTGATGCCGTGCATCGGCGTCTCGTGCAGGCAGGTTTTCTCGTAGAAGGCCGCCCGCGCCTTGACATAATCGAGCAGGATCGACCCGTTTTCGGATAAGTACGACGGCGCCTTCTCGCTGCGCGCGCAGAGAAAGCACAGGGCAGCGAGGACAATCATGGCCCTCGCGTGGGTGTCGCGCTGCACGCCGCCCCAGCTCCGCCACCACTGAGGGCCCATGTTATAGAAAGCATCGTCGCAGCCATCTTTGTACACTGGATGGGGGTTCAGGCCAAGCACTACGTCCTTGACGCAAAGACCCGAGAGAGGATTCACCAGAGTGACCAGGGCGCGCCAAAGCTCCAACGTCATCTCGCCCCCCTCGAAAGCAACGGGCGTTTTCCAGCCATCCTTGGACAACGGAAAACACATCCATGGAGACACGCGCATACATCAATGAGCGTGCACGCCCTCCCACGTGTCATTTGCAAGTGTGAGGACACAACGAGATGTGGGCGCGCGCCATGCATGTGTGTTTCTGTTGCCCGTGTTCCTTGAATGAGCATTGCCTTGCCACCACATAGACGGCGAGGAACATCACCGTCTGCATCAAAGGCGAAACGTCCGGTACAAGGTGGTGCCATAGGAGCCGCATAAATCTGTAAACCGTGAAAGCGTGACTGCTTTGCACCACCTTGTTCAAAATCAGTGTGCTCAGGAAGTGCAAGTCCCGCTGCTGCTCGCTACCGTCTGCGTCTGCCTTCAGGGTTCCATCGCGCACCTTGTCCACAGAACTTTCCCGTGCTGGGCCAGCGCGGATCTTGGGACAGAAACCCATCGCTTGAACCAGTCAGAACAAATCCTGCGCCAAAACGGCTACGGCAGCGAGGGAAGGAGGGGAGAGGAAAAGGAGAGGGAGAGCGAAACGCTTGCTTTTGAACAACGGTGTTGCGAACCCATTTGTTGCTCAATGGCTCCGCTGCTTGGGCCGCCTCGGGGCTCCTTGCACGGACATGTGAATAGGGAACATGGGACGGAAGGGTGCATTACAGCATCGTTCGTGCACATTGGGCTTACTCTGAACTTCCTGTTCCTCGTCTTCCTCCTCCTGATCGTCCTACGGGATGGTGCATTGCAGCATCGTTGATGCATCATGGCGTCACTCTGGATATCCTCCTCCTGCTCCTCATACGGTAGGGTGCATTACAGCATCATTGATGCACCCTGGCTTCACCATGCACCTCCACGTCTTCCTCCCCCCCATCCTCCTCCTCTTCCTCCTCCTCCTCCTCCTCCTCCTCCTCCTCCTCCTCCCTCCCCTCATCCGCTCCCCCTCCTCCCCACAGCTTCCATCAACTTCGCCAGCCAAGGCTCCAAAACCATTGAAAAACCAATAAACCCAAAACAAACCCAACTAATCCCTGTGAGGGTCCCAAAAAATTCAAAAATTCAAAAAAAAAAAAAACGCAATCTTTTCGCTACTTAGTCGGCCTGGGGCTCGGGGGGCTGGGAATCCAAAAACATGGGAAAACCATTGAAAATCAAATAAAATCCAAAAACATTCAACTAATCCATGTGAGGGTCCCCAAAAAACAAAAAAAACTCAATCATTTCGCAACTTAGTCTGTCTGGGACTGGCCGGCCACCCAAGCCGAGTAAGTTGTGAAAACATTGGGTTTTTTATTTTTTTGAGACCCTCACAGGGATTAATTGGATTTTTTTGGATTGTTTTGGATTTTCAATGGTTTTCCAATGTTTTTGGATTCCCAGCCCCAGAGCCCCAGGCCGACTAAGTAGTGAAAAGATTGCGTTTTTTGTTCAATGGTTTTCCAATGTTTTTGGATTCAAAGCCCCAGAGCCCCAGGCCGACTAAGTAGTGAAAAGATCGCGTTTTTTTTGACTGTTTGGGACCCCCACAGGGATTAATTGAGTTTGTTTTGGGTTTATTGGTTTTTCAATGGTTTTGGTGCTGTTATCTCCGACTGCTCTTTCCTCCTCCTCCTCCTCCTCCTCCTCCTCCTCCTCCTCCTCATCATCATCATCATACTCCTCCTCATGGTTCAACGCACGTGGGAGGTTCACACACGCATGGCAGCGGAACAACACATACAACCAACAGCAAACATGAGACACGCAA